CAATTCTGTTTATCACGTGAAGAATACTCTCATAGTACTGAAAAGCAAAGATGGCACCTTGAACTATTGAGCCAAGTCAAAGCCACCACCAGGCAGTTAATTTGACACTGGATGAAGAAAACATTAATAACATTACTTTGAACGTACTATTAATTAAAACGTCAAATAGAACAAACGACCTGCTTGGGCAACGAAATCCACATATTGAGCTTTGTCCCAACACATTATAAATGTTTCCGTAAGAAGTTTTATCTGGGTAATCGAAGTTAAACGACTAGGAGTTAGCCGATAATCTTTTATTACGGTCAGAATATTAGAGATAAAATGATTTTTAACTACCTTATTTTGTGCAGGAATTACAATTCCCGTATTGAGTACTGAAGTATGTATTTGTTTTAAGTAGCAACCCCCAGCTCCACTTTCTCCTCATGTTTCTTAATGAAGCGAGCAACGAATCGTCTTAAAGTATTCTGATTCACTCTATGACGAGGCACAAATATGTAGAATGATAGTCTACTTCGTTATTCGTATTGCTCTAATAATAGGCCTAAAATTGCATATTTCATCATGCCCAATAAGATCATTGTCTAGCACTGTCTACACTGACTCATTGTATCATGACAATCACCAGTGTATGATGAAAAACTCATTAAAACTGGAGATAGAACAATATATTTAATATGAATAAAAATGATGAGTCACAAAAGATTGACCACGCCTGCAAGGTCGAGTCATGCTATCCGATAAATTCAATTTTAAGTGAATGTTATCGCGTCCAGCATTATTGACCTTTTCTTGGTGTTACATGTCTAAACTTTATTTTCTCAGTCATCTCATATTTAACTTTGGGTAATATGTTTAGGATCCACTGCCACTACACTACTTTCCCACTAGAATCAACGTGACGTTGTTTCGACTACAAAGTGAGTGGGATTGTCGCCCGCCAGAGGATACCAAAAATAATAATAATCCTCCGGGTATTGATAAGCTAAACGATAAACCAGAAAGAAGGCGGCTGAAACTGTTAGAATTTCGAAATGTTTGGTTCAATTCCTAACATAAAGGCAGTACAAGTATTTTGTGCTTATAAAGAGAAAAAAATAATTAATGTTGTGTCGATGTTGATATCGGTATTACCTTTGGTTCAAATTAGAAAGTCCTTTGACGTTCATATTGGCATACTGTCTGTATGAGTTGATTTCCAATTACATCTGCATTGTAAGTTAACTGAAGGAACATATGTATAACCATGGAAAAGAAGAATTCCAACCAGCATTCCATTTCGTCTGTTAAGTTTGGTATGCTTTGTTTAATTACGGGGAAATTTTATCGAACTTATTATTACTTATCAGTGACAGAATTTAGTAATACCACCAATACACATGAATTATTATTGAAAATCCTTTCAACACGTGAAAAGCGATAGTTATGTGCATTTTGGACAGATAACTAAGAGAACATGGTTAAACATGAATGTATTCGTAAGCCACATACTTCAGACTCAATATTCTGACTTGCCATAGATTATTTCGTTATATTTATACCTACCGGCTGATGGTGCATACAAGTTAGTGGCAATTTTGAAATTTAGCTTAAGGTAGAAAACAACTTATATTCACTGAGGCCTTGTTTCAAACACTAATTAGGGGATTGACCGGACGAATTATTACTGTTGATTTTTTTGTAAGACATTTCTCCCTCATATTTCCAGTGTTGGATTTGATGTACTCCAATTTATAATTTGTCAAGGCATTTTTATATTCCATAAACTATCAAACTCAATTCAGAGTAGAAATCTTGGAGATGGACATTAATTGTCATCTGTAAAATTGGGCAATGTTGTTACCACGACACCTTAGCTACCACACAGAAGATTGTTTTTGGAAGTTTTATGTATTTGTGTATAAAAATCTCTCTACGCACACATTTCTAACTTGTTGTTCTTCATTCCTTCAACTGTACATTCTGTTTACCATTTAATTCCAGGTGAAGCGTTTACTATTTATTGTGTATTGTGGTTTTTGTTTTTCATCACATTCACGTAATTTTCATAGACAACACCTGTGCTGCTCTGTTTGACTTTTTGTTTATGGCGGGATTCATAAGGATTCTTCCCTCATTTTTTAATCATGTTATTTTAACTGACTGGAATTGTGCTTTTTGAGTAGCGAATAGAGACACATTCCCAGAACTGGAGAAGATTGGTGTTGTGATAGGTAATTCTTGATGCATTTATTTTTTGAACGAACTGTACATGATCTATCCAAAGAAGATAGGATAATATTCTTGTACTGGTAGAAACGTTTATCTGTTGAAAGCGGTAATCATCTTATGTCTTTTATCAGTATATCTACTTCATGTGGTTTTCATTTATTTATTTGAATTTGGGTAGCATTTGTTCAGGCAATATTGTTGTCAATCACTAGCGTAGATGATCTTTGTCGAATGATTGAGGAACTACTCGAGTTTGACGGGGATGGTGTGACGATCCAGCTAACATCGAAGTTGTAACAGCCTAGGTTGGTTGGTTAAGAGTTCACCTAGAACAACTAAGCATATGTCAAAACAGTATAGTTCAGGTATACATTCACTTCCTTATTTTGCATAGACGTTATATTTCTTATTATCTTATATTGAATGTTGAGAAGCTTTGTTTGTCTGAACAAATAATCCTACGCTCCACTGTAACTGCGCGAAGATCTAAATAAAGACATACTTGTCTGGTTTCTTCTATCAATAGCACGAGGGTTACCTAGGGGCACGAAAAAGTCACACTTCGCGATCAGCACCTTACGTGGTTTTCCTTATTGATGTATGAATGTACTATAGATGCTTTGAAGACTGTACAACTCGAAGGACGTTATTACAGAAGTATATTAGTTAAAGTATATACAAGCAAAAGCAAGACTACCGTCGCATGAGCCAGTCCATGGCGTACGATTAACTGATGTGCGTTGCTTGCCGTTGACATTAACAGGGACCGACTAGCTGTTCGACATTCAGTGATCCGATTTCCAGATGATTTGGCCGGAGCTCAGTGACATTTCTTTGGATTTACAGAGTCTTTTTAGATTTGTAACCATTTAAGGAACAGTTTCTTACCGAACCACTTCGTTTTGAATTTTTAATGGGAGTGTTTGAACTGTCCTCCACAGTTGTTCATAATTTGAAACTTCTTTAGTTCGGAAGTGACACCGAAATTTAATCTTAGTGGTTTTGAGTTGTAGTTCTCTCATTTAAAGCAATACTTCAAGGAGCAGAACATTAAACAAAGAGGAATACGATACAGAGATTAGTTTGTGGTTGCGCTGGTTCCTAACCGCACGATCATCGAAGTCGAAAACTTAATTACTGAGAAGATTAACATTCATTATACAGCGCTTGTAGAAGGTCGGTAATGATGAACACTGAAACAGTCACCCGATATTGCATGGCTCAGCTTTCCAGGCGCGGTCTTTTTGTAACTTGTTCCTTACCGCATCGAAAATATTATTTTATCCCCCGCCCAAATGTGTACTTCAGAAGTGGTAAACATCACATTACTTATTGTCACGATGCGACGGGTCAGAACAGGCAATGGTGTGACTTACTTATGGATTGGCTTGTCACATCATGACAAATCTACAATTTCAGGGTTATGTCCATCATTAATGTAACAAAAACAAGTGTATTGGTACCAAACTAGATCATAATTCTACACTCCTATGAGGTTCTTCTAGGAAGAAAGCTGTTTTCCAAGTAGCTTCAAAGACAAATCATGTAAATGGGTAATTGGACACTTGTCTGGAGCGGTCTGGTTATCCGAATAGCGGTAAGCAATACATGGACGCCAATTCTGATCCTCCCTAGGCATCATGTGTAAAGGATACATTCGCGAGCTGCTAGATTGTCCTGTTGCATCATATGATCGAATTCCCTCCCAACAATCTTTGGCTAATCCGGGGGTAGTCTGCGCGATTTGGCACAGATTGATGGGCCTGTGGTATTTATGTGCGGTCTGATTGCATATGAAGTGTGTTGGACTTGATAATCGGCTTTTGTTATGCTATCGCACTCTAGTAGAGCATCAGTGAAAGCTCTGTTTGTCAGTTTTGCTACGTAGATACCATAAATTTCACAAATGGCAGAATTACCACTTACCTGCAGACCATTGTGCATATCTACCAGTTTCTCTTCATTCATGTCAACTAGTAAGTTATAAACACTGAGAAAATAAGCTCCACGAATAGGTCGCTTTGTTTGTGAAACTGTGAAAATCCATGAAAGGCTCAGACGAAGTCAATGGCCTAATAGTGATGACTGTTCGTATGTTTTTGTGACCGATTCGTTGGCCGCCTCTAGAATAGGCCTGATCATCTGTTTATCTATCTGTTAAACCTACTTCAAGTTTTCAATGGCTCTCTCGCTTAGGTCGACTACCGAGTGTGACTCTTCCTTGTGCACATGTGTAAAGATGCCACAGGTATTCGGAGTTTGACAACGCATTTACACGTAAGACATTTGTAATCAAATTATATCAAACCAGTCAAATCAGAAATCAGAGATGAATGATTCCGAAGTTGTGTGTGAAAGGCTGTCGATATGTCGGGAAGCGTTAGGTCCAAGATGTCCTACAATTGCAAGAGCTGTGAAACACAGTACTGGTGACCTGGTGTGGATGAGTGACCGAGAGCCTTCAATTCGGTGCATCCAGTTGAACTAAAGCATCAATGTCGAGGACCTACATAACTATTTGTTTTGGGGATTTATATATCTCTACAAGTCGAAACTTTTTTTGAACAAGAAACACGTTAGTGAAAGAACCTCACTATTTTGACAATAGCGCATAACTGTGCTCCGCACAAACAAGATGACTGAAGACTTCCATAAATTTTCAGAGACAAAATAAAAAATTATTCATGCAAAACTTTAAATACTTTAATTGTGTATTATCAATTGATTGATGATGTGTCTATGGCGAATTGTTTTTCCACATCGGAAACTAATTATTTACTGCAATCATTCAGTTCTCGGGTAACTCGGTTTGTTTGCTGCAGTACTGAGTTCGGATGTTGGCAGACATGTTGCGGTTGACTTTTGTTTGTAATAATCTATTTTGCTATATAACATTTTTAGTAATATTCTTATCACCCTTAGTTGTTTCACATACTACGGTTGACAGATTAGTTTGCCGAAGTGCTGTCTCTGCACAAAAGCATAATGTTCTTCCTGAATGTATTGGTGAATGGAAAAAGTACCCATGGTCGCAGTTTAGAATAGATAATTCTTCCGAATGCACTGATTGCCGGTTAATCTCACCCTATGTGTGGGATTACAAGATTGAGCCACTGCTTTGTGCTACTGGTGTTAAAAATGAAGAGGTAATTTTTTCGGTTGGATTAACAGTTGAAATTAGTGCAAAAATATAATCAGCGCTTTATCCCAACTGAAATATATCAAGGTTAGTGCCGTTTTAAGTAAAATAATTATTAGAATCGCAATAACGTTTTGTGTAACATCCTTACGCTTTGTGATTCTCATACGTATATCAAAGTAAGAGTACATTTCGATTGACATTAACAAGGATCTAAATTTTGGCGTTCCACTCTGTGATGATTGTAAACGATTGGTCAATGATATGCGAAAGCTTATTGAAGACAATTCAACTGCTGCCCAGATTGAAGCACAGCTTGATGAATTAGTCTGCAACAATCTTCCAGGTGAAATAATCCCATACTGCAAAAATTTGGTAAATGTCCACGTTCCATATGTCCTGCATATCATTTCAGAGAAGATGGTGAGAACTATGCTGAACTTATCTTAGTTATTTTAGAGCCCTGAAGAGATCTGTGCAACACTGGGACTTTGCGTAAATGTGAAGACAAAATTCACACTGGCCAACTTTATGGTAAGCAAGTAGAGTTACTATACCCTAGCGTTGTTAACTGAATAATACAGAACTTACCAGTAACCAGTACCTCAAATAATTTACGCTGCATGTATTATGAAGTCTGATATACCAAGCTTCATTTCAGAGTATATATTATCTAGTTTTCGATGATCCAAAATGCTCCAGTTTGTTAGTGACACATGCAGTATATTTAATGTTTCAGATTTGTTAAATTACATCCTGAGCTGACTTCTGCCTTGGGATTTTAGATCAAAGTAAACGTCAGAGACGGCTAATACCGCTATTAAAATTTTATTTTCCAACCGCATAAATTTAGTGCGAACAGTTCAGTACGTTAACAGGATGTAGTTGTATCGTTTCAGTGCTTGACTACTGGTTGGTTTATAAAATTATCCTTTGTATAATCTTTTATATCAAGTTACATCACTATGTTTGCATTTACTGAATGTGGTTGTTTATTACACACGTGACCATAACTTGAGATAGTAGTACCTAACACCGATTGCGGCAAATTAGTGTTCTTTTTCGTCATCCCAAGTGCTGAACACTGTACTAATTTACGCATTATATTAAATCGTTTCTTTTACTTTTCTCGTTTGGTTCATTTTTGTTTGCACTATGAATTTTAGTTTACCTCATGGATAGTTTTTATGTTATATACATATGGATTAATTAGAGCTTATGTCAGCAAATTACTATAATTTGAAATGTATGGATTGGTGTAATATTTGAAACCAATTTTGATGTTTTTACTTCAAGCCATAGCAAAGTGCATTAGGGCTTACGAGCTTGTATTTGTACAGTAAAAATTTATAGATCGGAAAAGTATGAAATATGTGTCTTGCCGATGAATGAAATCAATCTTTTTGTGAATTATTCTACCAAATATACGACTACTTGTTCTCGCAACTTACTAACTGGTGTATATATATATATATATATATATATATATATATATATATATATATATAATTTTCAGACTAATAAAGGAAAGAAATGTAACGAAGATAGAAAATTTTCATGGATAAGACGCCCAATAGGTAGTGTCGGTCATAAATGGACTTCATACAAATCTCAAGAAACTCCAACCTGTCCAAACTGTCTATCAGTACTGAGTCAATTCAAGATAGGTGTTGAGAACCCAACTATACAAGAACGCTTAAAGGAATTGATTGATGAAAAGGTTTGCACACATATGGGCTTCTTTGCCGCAGCTGTAAGTTTCTGTATCTTAGATTTCATGTCTCTTTCTTATGTTGCCACGTTATATGCTAAATATATTTGCCGTCATGAACATGATCTACCCGTTAGTCATACACACGATGATATGGTTGGGCCGACCTAAGTAAGGAGATTTATTTGGGTTGTTTTTAAAAATATCAGGGACAACATAAACCTCCATAGAAAAACGTACTGCTCAACTGGACAATCTAAGAGCAGTTTCAGGAAGTCAGCTATAAACCTTTAGACTCTGATCATCAGGATTAGTTTCACAGGTGGAAGGAAACAAAGCTAGGGAGGAAAAATTGACAGAAAGGATAGAAATTTGTGAAAAGAAAGTGGTTATCAAACATGATAAACATGGATACTGCTGGACGTGAAGTTGGCATAATACATCTGCTTAAGCAACTAGGATACTGCTTATCATCTCAGTGACCAGGTATGCGAATTTAATGTCAAAGAAGCAAATACTTGGCCTTATTCACATGCTATTTTGTGAGTTAGCTCTAACTACTAGCTTCGGACTTTTTAAAATTTATCATTGGTAACTTTGGAGCTAACCTTTTCCAGTCTTTATATGACGTAAAGCATCATCACTGGAGATCCTGCTTATCTATTGCAAATCTTACTCCCACCACCTCTAGTACAATCATTAATGCGAATTTGCCTTAGGACATTTGGAATACTCTGTACCTACTCAGCTCACTGAAATCTCACAAATGTTGGATGACTGGAGATTACTTATCCCGTCTCTGAGTTTCCTAGCTCATAATATGAGGACTAAACGTATTTCGCACAATACAGTTGAATCGAACTGTCTATTCTATTTCATTTTGATTGTTGACTCATATTGCCTTGTTTGGTTTACATTTTTGTATAAATATTCATGTGTATTAGAGTAAAGCCCGATGACGATCTAATTGAAAACAATTGTTCGCTTATATGTGTTGTTTTAATTTTCACAATGCGAACTGTCTATATCCTTTTACTGATTAATTCATATCCATTACTTGCACAGAGTTCATAGTTTAAAGGAGGTAGTCATTTTTCGATAAAATAAAATTTTGAGACTTTAATGACTGTTATACAAAGCATGGTATGAAATTTCGTGTCCTTAACTTGTTTCTTATCAAACAATATAAGATCACCAGTCGCTTAAAGTATATTGATGCATATTAATACTTGTATATTATCTCCATCAAATACAGACCAAGTTGTTAAGATAACGGTAGTGAGATGTAAATACCCTCTTTTATAAGTAATATATTTCACTGGAATGAAATGGTAATCGTAAGTACCTGATGCTCAATAGTTGTATATATTGCCTCGATAAGTCAACTTAATTGTGTTCTTCCTGATTCTTGTTTGTGTTTTCTATATACTTATGTTTCTATTAAATCTCGTCTTGTGTAACATTCCCATTGTAAATTTCCGTTTGGATTTACTACTTTTCTCTACATTCTACTGAAATACGTATTTGGTTATGTATTATATGAGTAATTTGATTTACACATTTTAGTGTAAAGAAGCGATAGAATATAACTTTGGTCAAATAATCAGTGGTATGAAAGAGGTGGACCCTAAAGAGATGTGTAGTTTGTTTGGAATGTGTACATGTGAATACATTAATTCACCTGGTGATACAATGTTACCATCGTTGTCTACATCACAAGATATTCCCGGTGTTTGTAATTTATGTACTCTGTTGGTCAAAAAGATATTTGAACTAACTATTGGTAATCAAACCGAAGCTGCAATTGTGTTAGCTATGGAAACTGTAAGCATTTTTTTCATCAGCTGCGTTTTCATTTATTTTACTGATTATTTTATTAATTATTGCTTAACGCAACAAAAATGATGAGATTAATCCTGGTTAAAAGAGTGAAAAGGTGAATTCTGAAGCTTATAAAAAATGATTTTCCTTGATATTATTGAGGTGTTAGTGGCAAACTAAATTGTTGTGCAAGCGTTTTCAATTAAGATCTATTTAGAGTTATTTAGAAGGTTTTCTGTGATTTGATTATACGAAATTTTCAACTGTTGAAATCAATGAATAGAAAGCTAATCGACAGATGAATGCAATGATTTGATGTGGCCTAGACCATATTGTTGATTTCGGCATCCTAATGGTTAGAAATCAAAGACATTACCACTATCCAGATTAGTAGTTGTTCATGTAACAAAAAACATGCTTATATACAGAACATAAATACGAAATAAATATGATAAAATGTCATTAAAGGAAATTAGTTTATGTCACTCGTACTCCGATCCGTTAGGACCTGACTGTTAGACTTAATCTTTGGTCATCATATCACTTAAAAACCGTGAATTCTTATACCTATTTGGAATAATCTGAAAGACTGTAAAATTCATTCATACAATATTCTACTTTATTATGCACTGTCAACAGTCAACATGCTTGAGGTGCTTTTAGAATGCTAACAATACAGCCATTTTATGCACCTTATTTACCACGAAAGTGGATAAACTAGTTAAATTTCCAAAATTAGCTTGTTTTCCTTAAATACTTCAAACATTGGGGAAGAAAAGAGGATTACACGGAATTTTGATTTGTAGAAAGTCTTTTCTAGGGAACATAATATTTTATTTCTAAATTATCCGTAAGTGAATTTCTGTTGAATTTCGTGTGTTCACAAGCATTTAATAATTAGTAGTTAGTCATGAAACTGATTAAGTAAGCACTTTAGGTATTTGTTCCCATCAAGATATTTTATATTTGTACTATCATTATTATATATGAATTGACTAATACGTCCAACAGAGGGTTCTTTTTTATCGAAGGAAATCTTAATCTATTATTACTTCTAATCAATAGTACATAGGCCATTTTTAACATTTAAATATTGCTATCAGGGTTTAATAATCGGGTAGAATATATGGTAAATTTATGATAACATACATTTAATATTCTACTTTGAAGTAGAAAATAAAACTTATAATGTTTCCCAACTTGGCTTAAGTCATTTCTTCAAGATGCCTTGGTTTTTATGTAATTCAGTTGTAAATAGATATTACTTCATTAATCATTATAAACTTCGTAGTATTATTTAGTTTATTGACTTTAGCCATTAGTTGAGTGTGAAATGACAACTGAAAATGGAATCTGATTTCGGTTTCGAAAGTACTTGCTATATGCGCTTTTCACGATAGCTTACCATTTAAACGTCATGTGATTGAAACGATCAACCGTTTGACGGGTAAAACTTTTTTAGTTTAGTTAAAATTTAGATTTGTATCATCCATTGTGGATAGGGTGACCTTCAATGATATTAATAGTTCTATTCATTATTATAAATTTTGCGTACAGTGAAGAATTATCGTTGTTAGCTATGCAATTTTACATTGAATATCTCTTTAACACTCATTCAGAATTGCGATTATTCAGAATATTTTAAAATTAGTTCGATTGGAAATGGATTAGATTATCCCGTTTTTGATATTTCGACTTAAATGTGATCAGTCTTGATTGGCAAATATACGTCATATGCGGATTGCCTCAATATAGCCATTGTGACGCAAGTTAATATAGAATAAATGAAATGAGTCTAACAGTGGAATCTAGGACACGGTTTTATTCCTACTGTTCACTCTGGTACTTGAGTTCCGGAGTAGAAATCCAGCTGACGAGTCTTAAATAGGACGAACCGCGTTTCCTGGATTCCATCCCTACCGTTGTTGCTACCTTGACGTGGTGGTCGGGCTTGCCTATCGTAATGAAGCAACCGAGCTATACTGACTGGAACAACTGTTCCTCAAGGTCCTACCACGTCAGAAAGGTCGGTTGAAGAGCGGTAAGACTAAAAGCAACAAACCCAAGGTCCGAAGGCGAAGTCGTACTGCTGACTGTACAGAGGTGTGACAGCAGTAAGGTGTGTCCTTCAGACAACCAGCATGACAACGATGCTGCCTTCCCACAAGGAGGGGTGGGGTTAGAAAAGGTCGACCCTAAAAATGCACACCTCGCCTTATCCCACGGATATCCGTCTCCGGCGGTTAGGTCTCAACAAGTACGGAGCTAACACAAAAATTGCCCATAAAAAGGTCGTGTGTGACCGACCTCAAGCAGTTGTCCCTTGGGCACTGCGGTCACGCTCCCAGGTCACTAAGACCACTTCTAATCCGATTTCCTTTTCAGGTACCTCCAGAAGAACCCTTCCATGGTGTGGGCAACCGGGAAGTGATAACCGCCCCCATACCTCTAACAGCACTCAAGACCACTGGATTCATAATCAACCTCCCTCTTCAATTCCTCCTACATCGACTTTCACCTCTAAATTTCCTTTTTCGGCTTCCTCCTCAAATGTCACCATAGCCAACGATTCTAGTGCTCAAAACACTGTCTCAGGTCTACTGAAACCTCGCTCCAAACTACACATTGGAGCCTTCAACGTACGCAACTTATGTCAAATCGGTCAACAGGCTTCCTTGGCTAGAACCCTAGAATCTCGTACCATTGATGTATGCTGTGTCTCCGAAATACGCATACAGGATCCCAGTGTGGTCATTCACTTGACCTCACCTCGGCAAAACGGAGAGCCAACGAGATACACCCTCCGTGTATCTGGTGACCCGATGGCCAGCTCTCGTGGAGTAGGGATAGCACTAAGCATGAGGGCTGAACAAGCAGTGTTAGAGTGGATCCCCTTCAATAGTCGTCCATGTGCTGTACGGCTAAACGGCTCCGTAAGAACTCGGAAGGATAGGGACACACGTCCTTGTTTTTTCTTTGTTTCTGCGTACGCTCCCACCGACTGCAGCTCAGATGAAGTGAAGGATGAATTTTACAGAAAGCTGTCTGAACTTCTTCAGAAAGCTAAACGTTCAGACATAGTACTCGTAGCAGGTGACTTTAATGCCCAGATAGGTAGTTTAAACCAAACAGAAAGGCATTTAGGTGGGTGTTTTAGTATACCGGCACAACGAACAGATAATGGTGATCGTCTGCTGCAACTATGCTCAGACAATCGTTTGTTTTTAACAAACATAAATTTTAGGCATAAGGAAAGACATCGTCTAACATGGCGACCCCCTACACCAAACCAACGATGGACTCAAATAAACCATATTGCCATCAGTCATCGTTGGAGAGGGTCGGTAGGAGATTGTCGCTCATTCTGGAGTTCCTGCTTGGACTCCGACCATGCCCTAATATGGGCACGCATCTGCTTGCGCCTCACTGGACGCAAAAAATCCACATTAAAAAGACCCATTAGAACTGAGTTGAGTAACGAGAAAACGAAAAGTAAGTTCCAGGAACAACTGAGGTCACACTTAGGTAGTTCTGAAGACGGGGCTGACTCAGATGTTGCTTGGAAAGATATACAAGCAGCTGTGGAAACAGCAATAAAATCTATTAGTGACTTAAACCACAGAGTTACAAAGAACCAGTGGATTTCTCCAAGGTCTATCACACTGATGGATTCTCGCAAACTCATCCCATCATGTTCCGAACATGATGAAGAGCGACAACAAATCAGATCTAGGTTAAGAAAAAGTCTAAGAAACGACCGTGAGCAGTGGTGGGCAACGAAAGCAAAAGAGATGAAAAAGGCGGCGGCTATAGGGAACACAAGACAGCTCTACAGAATAATAAAAGAAACTGGAACTAATAAGTCAAGTGTAAGAGATTATTTCGGAAAAGGACGATACTCTCATCTGCTCTCAGTCCAGACGTTTAGAACGATGGGCGGAACATTTTAGTTTAACTGGCCTTCAACTACTCTACAACTACCCTCCATTCCCAGACAGCGTGAATGGAACATTGAAGTAGGTCCCCCAACTCTAGCAGAAGTTCAAAAGGCTATAGTTAATTTGAAACGAGGAAGGGCAGCTGGTCCATATGGATTGGCTCCAGAAGTCTTTAAGGATGGTGGTCCAATTTCAGCGGTTAGGTTGACTAAAATTTTAGCTAAGATCTGGGAGTTAGATGTTATTCCATCTGACTAGTCTCAATCACTTATCGTCCCAATATATAAGAAAGGATCAAAATCATCGTGTGACAACCACAGAGGGATTAGTTTAACAAATATAGTATGTAAAATACTAGCCTCAGTAATAATCAGACGCTTAACTAAAACTCGTGAACTGCAAACACGAGAAAACCAAGCTGGCTTCAGACCTGGTCTTGGCTACATCGACCACATATTCACCATTCGTCAGGTTCTAGAACACAGGCATACTTATCGGCGTCCGACAATGGTGGTCTTTCTTGACTTAAAAGCAGAATTTGACTCGGTAGACCGCGAGGTTCTGTGGCAGTGTCTGTCATTGAAAGGCGTACCTCAGAAGTACATAAACCTTGTGAAGGCTCTTTACTCGAACACTACTAGTCGAGTGAGAGCTTATGGCGAACTGTCATCTACTTTTGCAACCTCAAGCGGTGTCCGTCAAGGCTGTCCACTTTCTCCATTTTTGTTTAACGTCATCATAGACCTACTGATGGAAATAACATTCTCGTCGACTGAATTCTCGGGTATTGATCTCCTTCCAGGAGGTCCACTTATCGACCTAGAATACGCAGATGATATAGTCCTGTTTGGTGAAGACGCTGATAAAATGCAGAATCTTCTGGTAGCACTAAGCAACAATGCCAGAATGTTTGGAATGCGCTTCTCTCCCTCTAAATGCAAGTTGTTCCTTCAGGACTGGTCTGCATCAACACCTGAACTAAGGATAGGGAGTGAAGTAGTCGAACGCGTCGACAACTTCACTTATCTTGGAAGTCTGATCAGCCCTAATGGGCTGGTATCGGACGAAATCTCAGCACGGATTCGAAAAGCTCGTTTGGCTTTTACCAACTTACGTCACCTTTGGCGAAGGCGAGATATCTGTCTATCAATAAAAGAACGAGTTATACTGCGCGGCAGTCCGTTCTGTCTTACTTTAGGGCAGCGAAACATGGCCATTAAGAGTAGAAGACACTCGTAAGCTATTAGTATTTGACCACAGATGCCTTAGAAATATTGCTGGCGTCTGCTGGGATAACCGGGTAAGTAATAGTGAGGTTAGATGCAGGGTATTAGGAAATGATGGTAAATCAGTTGATGAGGTTATGAATCTTCATCGACTGAGATGGTTGGGCCACGTGTTACGTATGCCTGAACACCGATTACCACGACGTGCAATGCTATCCGGTATTGGAAATGGTTAGAAGAAAGTTACGGGCGGCCAAACCAAAACGTGGCATCAGTGCTTGAAGTCACTAACTTTGAGTCTGACCCATGTTGGTAGATGCAGACTATTTGGTTGGGGTCCGCGTGACTATCGAAACCAATGGTTGGAGACTCTTGGTACCATGGCTCAGAATCGATCACAATGGCGTCGGTGTATACACTCCCTGTCTTCCCTTAAACTAAGAGATTAAAATCGCTTCATATCTCTTTCTACGAACTAATTCTATATTCCGGTACTGTATCCTTATATGCAATCTTTCTCCTATATATTACCACCTTTAACCTAACCACTCCTATGAATCCGGTGTTCATCTTGCTGTGCTAATGAGGTATGGCAACCCGGACCGATGCATATATGTGCTTGGTCCTACGTTGTAGCTGACTGATTGACTAACCTGGATTCCACTGGTAGCCACATTTTATATATTGTAAAGTTTCCTTTCAAAGTCATCATCTTGCACCCATATTCAATGATTGAAGCTTTCTGATAGTTTATCTGCCATAACTACTTCCCAACCCATCATATGTAAGGTGTTGAAATCTCAATATATTAGTCTTTCATTGTTTGCAGAGGGTAAATTAAAGATAGATGTGCCAAGAATTGTAGTGCTTCAGTTTGAGTTTCCCAGTATTTAGTATCATAACAATAGGAACGATTGCTTTTGTTTGATGATAGCATATGAATACATACAGTTACCATTTATAACTATTCAGTTTAAAGAAATCTAAAACGGGTAGGTTAATTGTAGTATTCACAGTTGGAAAACAGGTTATCCCAACGTTAGGACAGGCAGTCTTAGAAGTTTATTGATCAAGTAATTTAATCTTTCGTAAATCGTAAACCTACCTTTTATGCTTATTAACGTATCAATAAGACAGTATAGTTTTGGTCAGATTTTTATTCTTGTAACTTTCATTGACTTATGTGACTTAGTTTAGCAACCGAGACCAAAAGGTTTGGGATTTCATCCCAGAGTTTAGATCATGTGCTTTGTATTGATTGAAAATATCTGTGTAGGTGTGTAGCACTGATTTTCATGGCTGTTACAATTTCAGATTGCTAAGCCTAATAGACCTTCCTACGGTTTATCATGTTTTCATGTGTTTTTCAATTTAACAATCTGATAAACTTGAATGTGTAAAAAATATAAATACACTGCACAGTTTTATATTCACATAAAGTAAATACATTAAATTTCACTATAGATGAGTAAGCTAACTATTCTACATACCATTAAATATTGTCAGTGGAAAGTTTCGCAATTATCTCAGAAATTTTTTTATCATTGCTACTTTATATACTTGATTTTTGTCAAATATTAGATCTGTGAATATCTACCATCTGATTACGATACACAGTGTGAGAACTTTGTCGAAAAATACGGAGCGAAAATTGTTAGTGCTATTATTGACGGCACTGCTCCTGAGCTAATATGTGGGAGTATAGGATTGTGTGCTTCACCCCTACATCAGAAGGTAGGGCTACCATCATCATCACAGTCACTACCACCACGTCAGGATCATCAAGTTCAAACAGTAAGTTCTGTTGTCCTAATTTTATTTCATAATGTTATAATTCTCTTACGGTTATAACCCAGCTATTCCTATTGCTTAGTATTCTCGGACACCGATTCACTCTACAAGTCCCCCAAATCAGAACACGGTTGAACAGGCAAAGAGATTATATTCCAAACAACAAGGTTAGATGGAAGTAAGAAGCCCAATAGGGAAGACGTTAGCATATTTATAGTTTTTCACATGAGATTTTTAGTGTTCACTAAGTATTGACTAACGCTGATTGGATAAGAATTAGCCAATCAGCGTGTGTCAACACAATCGTGCATTGAACACGATTTAATCCAGTCTATATCTGGTCTAGTTTAGTTAAATTGAACTGCGTAGCTGTGTAGTATTTACCCATTTTATTGTCATTCTGATTATTTGAGGTGTTCAAGTTGGATTTGTTTTGTTACTGTACCGGAAATTTTTCATCCAGTCATTTAAGTAGTTAGATAGACATAACAGTAAAATACGATATTTCTTATGATCGAAGAAAATTGATTACCCACTTCATTTTGTCTATTATTTTAGAAAAATTAGTGTCAAAAACTGTTTAACATTGATGTAATGAGTATCATTACTAAAAAGTCTGTCGCTCTTCACACTTTGGTTTTTTGATTGTAGAGTGTTCAAATATCTGTCTGGTGTTTACCATATTAGACTGTGATTAATGTTTAAGAGTGTGAAAGGGAATTCAGCTCAAGAATAACAAATAGATTATATTTATAGTTTATTCGTACATTTATTTTCAAAACATGGACGACTAATACAATGGAAGGCATTGAACTCGCTTCATTTATTGTGGTTCAAGAGTGACAATATATGCTTGCAGAATTAGGTTGGATGTAAGCTAGGGGTGACCAAATCAAGACGTAGTATATTTTCATGAAGTTATTGATAGTTGAACTGAACCATGTTAATAGGTATAAAGTACCTAGCTGAATTCCGCTTGATTATCGTAACTAATGGCCATAGATTTTGTGTAAAGTGACTCAAAATCATCTGCAATGACACAGATGCATTCAGTCTTTGTGTCCCTTTTGATTCTAAGTTTCTAATTTTTTTCATGAACTTTATTTCATTAACTTATATTTTCTTATCGAATAGCATCTTCAGTATCTAATCTTTTCCATTTCAATTAATACTGTTATTACACCTACTACTCTAGGATTTGCTTTCAGGATTTCCTCTCGATGTGCTTATGGGATGTGGCAATGTGAACCGACGTACACATGTGCTGGTGCCTAATTTGTGTATGACTAACCGATAGGAATTTGGAAATTATGCTTCCTTTGTGATAAGCTTGTTGATTTTATCATTCAGTTCTAAGTTCTGTTAAAGGTTATTTGGGCGGTTGTCGCTTCCCAGTCGCCCACACTATGAATTGATACTTTTTGAGCTACCTAGAAAGGAAACTGGGCTAAGTAATCAAATATATCTGTTTTAAAAGAATTACTTTCAACGTTGAGATCTTGGAGAAGATTTGTAGCTCAGGTGGATGATTTGGGTGGTTTTATTTTCTGAGCTGAATGGTTTGATCTTGAAGCTTTCATTATTCTTCTGAACAACATCATTAGCACAAACTCCAGGTACAAATATCGTGTTCGAATTTCTCTACATATGATTCACAGCTTGTCCTGTAAACCTCGATCTTGATTAGTTATAGTTGACCTTTAACCTGTCACTGTTTTCTATTTTTTCTATTGGATTTCCCAATAATTTGGTTTTTGGTTCTATATATATACATGAAGTAAGCGATGACAGGTTAAAGGTTAACAATAACCAATCAAAATGGAGGTCTACAGGACAAGCTGTGAGTTATATGTAGAGAAATTCGAACACTTCATTTGTACCTGGAGTTTGTGCTGATGATGTTGTTCAGAGGAATAATGAAAGCTTCAACATCAAACCACCCAGCTCAGGGAATAAAAACTTCATCTAAACTGCTTTCAGTGTTTCAATTTTCGAATTTACCATTTTTTTACTCGGATGTAAACAACAGAATATTTAACAACTAGTCAATATTTTTGTTAAGATCTCTCTTTATACAGCCTGGTTACTCTCATTACTCGCTATTCTTCAGATACTACTTCACTCGGCTAGTTCCCAGAATTAGGACGCCGCTTGGACAGGTGCGTAGTTATATTCCAAATAAACTAAATTGAGAGTGAAGATCACAGTGAGAATATTGTTAGTACATTCATAATTTAAACACAAGAATATGCTACCGTTTTCGGGATCTATTTTTTTAACACTGATTGCCCCACTTAACAGGGGACGAGGCTAGTCGAGTTTGGTAGCGAGAGAGATCCTAAGAAGTATATTCGGCTCTGATGAAGAAAAGATTTTCATGATTTCTATTTTCATCGTATTTAGTATAAAAATGTTCAGTTTTTCTATTGTTCATGTACTCTTTAAAAGCGATGTGTATCTATCACATGTTTCGTATTAAAAAAAAGACCGCTCTCATTTTAATTTGCGATAAAGCGGTATTCTTGCTTGAATTTCTGATGTGATATTGTTATCTTCATACGTTTTTTATTGCTCTGAGTGGTTATTTGTCAAAATAAGGGGTAATATTGTTTCCGTCCTCCGTGACTGCTCTTTTCAAAAATGATTTCCATTATTTTTCAAAACTGGCTTTTAATGCCGACATCAGTAAATTATGTAGTTTGGATACAATTTTACAGTCATCACAATAATGGATCATAAATAGGAACTCCCACATTAGTAGGTATGTCAATGGCCTAGTGGTTGAAACACCTATATTCTCTAACCAATAAGTCTGTATCAAAGTTTGCTCCACCTAATTCTCTTCTTGTGTAAATAAGTAGTATGGTTAAACTCACACAAACAATGTGATACAAAGCAAAGTTCATAAATCTGTATTTGGTGAATGCGTTACCACAAATAGCAATCATTCTTTCTTAACTCATATTGTCTATGTATTTATTTATTTATTTGAACACATAGATATTGGCACAAGAAGGCGCCAAATACATGCGCCATACAAATCTCATTCGATATGTGTGAGGGCTGTGATACTACCCGAGTGCCCAAACCGAAGCAGGTGGTTTTCTTAAGGAGTAACACCCGGAGACTCCGACTTAAAGGTGTGGTCCACATGGCAGTGGAGCATCGTAAGGAGATGCAGTCCCATGGTGGCCGGTGACCAACGATTGGTTCATACGCCATTTGTTCCTTAAGGGTACTGGAGCCCATGTGCATCATTGGTTTGGAATCAGGGTTTTCCGACTCCCCTAGGTGGACTCTCCATTTCCACCAACCCGGTTAAAGCGCCGGACATTCGCTTTTCGTCCTCTCTATTCCGTAAACAGCAGTAATGCCACGAGAAGGCAATGAGTAGGACTTCCCTGTCAGAGGCTATATACGCGTGTCCATGTGACAGAATTTCGAGAGGGAGAGTGGACTCTCCCCACTCTCGACCGTACCAGTGCATTTGGGGGTAAATTGTCTATGTCTAGTATTCTGCACTGTTACTGCTACTATTCTAACAGTTCTCTTGGTAATTCCACCTCGCTATGTCATTATGTTGTTGCAATTTGTATCGGAACACGTGTGTCAAGTCCTGTGTTGCTTACAACTGACTGACTGATAAGCAGCATGCATTAGCCATAAAACAGTAGATGGTTGTCTGGTCTAACAAAAACCAAAAAGATGTGTCTAACACAATGAGCTAAGAAAGAAAAAAAGATCACTTTTTATTAAATAACCATAATCCTAGTAAAAATCTGTATAATAGAGAAAAGCGATATCTTACTATTTATAAATAAAAAACTAAATGACAATTGTCTATAGCTCCCATTATAGATTACGCCTAATGGATGTCTCAAGCAACTTGTAGAAGGCTATTTTGTCGGTCCTAATACAAAAGTCAAATTGTTAGTTATTTGTAGTATACCTAATTATTATCTCACTTTACCGCTATTAGATAAGTTAATCTGTCTTTTCGTCAAATCGTTGACTAACAGTAATCATCTTAAGAAATTTTTTTTGAATAAAACAATATTTATTAGTAGTTTTTTTGCACCAGATTTAGTCATCTACTGTCGGTTGTGATAACATCATTAACTTGATAAACAATGTTAAACATCGGGAAATAGTTCATGAGCATCAAATATTTTAATCGGAGAAGGACTTTTGTGGATATTACCATGAATTCAACTATTAAATTATCAAATATTTGTTTTACTGTTTGTTCATGACACCTAAATGTTCGCACAATCGGGCACTAAGAAATGCGCCAAATAAAATGGAACAATGATGTACTTACTTACGCCTGTTACTCCTCGTGAAGGAGCATAGGCCGCTCACCAGCATTCTCCATCCAACCCTGTCCTGGGCAATCCTTTCTAGCTCCGTCCAGTTGTAATTCATCGTTTTCATATCTGCTTCTATTATCCGACGCAATGTGTTCTTTGGCCTTCCTCTTTTTCGCTTCCCTTCAGGATTCCAAGTTAGGGCTTGCCTCATGATGCAGTTTGACGATTTGCGTAATGTATGTCCTATCCATTTCCATCGTCTTTTCCTAATTTCTTCTTCAGCTGGAAGTTGGTTTGTTCTCTCCCACAGAAGGCTATTGCTGATGGTATCCGGCCAATGGATGTTGAGTATCTTGCGTAGACAGCTATTTATAAATACTTGTACCTTCTTGATGGTGGTTGTTGTATTTCTCCAAGTTTCAGCTCCATACAGTAGAAATGCCTTGACGTTGGTATTGAAGATTCTCACTTTGATATTGGTTGAAAATTGTTTTGAGTTCCATATGTTCTTTAACTGTAGGAATGCTGTCCTTGCTTTGCCAATCCTTGTCTTTACGTCTGCATCTGAACCTCCTTGTTCATCGATAATGCTTCCTAGGTATGTGAAGGACTCTACATTTTCCAGAGTTTCGCCATCAAGAGTGATTGGATTGTTGTTTTCCGCTTTGAATTTGAGGACTTTGGTTTTCCCTT